CGGACCACACGATTCTACAGGTAACACTGTGCAACAAGTAGGCACGCCGCTCACAGGTACCACGCCTCTAGTTACTATGAATGATTTTATTTACTACGCGCGCGTAAAACGGCGCTCGAACGCAATTGTGAGCATGCCGATCGGAATCGCCGCGCTGTTCTCCGCTCCGCACAAGGCACACATGATTCCGCGGAATTAAAATTCTCCAGATCTTTCTTATGAATATAGTGTAGTAGGCATCGCAGTATAAATGCACGTGCACATGCTAAATAACTGAGCAGGAGAATATCATAAAATATTTTAGAAAGCGCTGTTTATGTGAAACAAAAATGTAAAGCGGTTAAGCAAAATAGTTGGCATGATTTCTATAAATAGCGAAGTAAAATCAGGGGTATTTTGGCATTCTTTTTTCTAAGATACATCTTCCTGATGTATACTTTAGCATGTATATCTTCAGTGATGAAAAATTAATAATCATGATCGGACTCTGCGAAATGAATACAAAACCGGTTCTTTTAATGCATTCCTAAGGCCGAAAATGTATATGTATCATCGCTCTCTAAAGGTTAATGTTGCCAAAAAAATAACTTTCAAAAAATTTTTTAGATTTCGAGTCAGTTTCCTATTTACATATTCATCGTTTAATCTAACTAATTAGAATATATTTAACCTTGTAACTATCTTCCTATAAAAAAAAAAGATTGCCTTGAAGGAGAATCGCCCAAGTAGTTATTTTTCACTCGCCATAGCTGACAAAGAGGTTGTCCTGCATTCCAAAAATACTATCTCCTTGTTAAGACAAATGAACTGATCTCATAATAGCATCCTTGAATGATATTTGCTCAACTTCTAAAGCAACAGTGGTTTCAATGATAAAAGACTTTTCAAAATTGTGTCGAGTACAAGCACAATGCTGTTTACATACTAAACTCTATATCATCACACATTTAATCATTTATTTCGCAGTTTATTTATATAAAAAATTGTAGCATAATATTCTAGAAATTTATTTCTATGACAAAATCAAACGAACAATTTTATTTTTAAAGATAATTAGTGAAACTATTGAATTATTAGCAATTAATAGTAAAAAGAACGCTTTTTATTTAAAAATTACGTTATTAGTGGCATATCTGTCTGCATTATAATCTTGCATAATCAAAATTAATTTATCGCCGAAGTTGTATTTATAACTCCGATGCATTACGCTCTACTTGCTGCGTGATTAAATTTTATTATAAAGAAAGTTATAAGTTTTCTTATAAACCACTGCGAGTAAAATATCATTTAATGAACAAGTTACACAGTTGCCTGTTTTGCAATAAATAGCGTTTATTATGGCACAACAGCGCAAGAAATTCTCAAGATACTTTACTTCGTATAAGTATAGCCCAACATTCATTCAGAAAAACCAGCCGTGGCGCCACGATGTGCCGCAAATAGCAAAGGCCGTTATTTAATGACATTAAACAATTTTACGCCTAAATATTACTTGAATATTTATTTCATATCGCTTTACGAGCTTCGCACACAAACATCACAACCCGGCCTCTATATATTTATTAAGTTTCAGGCGCCTTGTCGCCGTGGTATACGTGAGATAGCGTGTAAGCAAATCGCATCTTGGCAATAATAAATGACAAGCTCGTTAGCGTCCGAACGCCTTGAAGCATTACGATGAATTAATATCCGTAAACAGAATCAGAAAGGAGAATCACATCCTGATACGAAGGTAACGGATAGATATATACGCACACGCTCAAGTGTTAACCGGTATTCGTCCTTTATAAAGGATTAATTACACATGTTATATTGGGTTGTACTTGTATCAACTTGACATATTAAAACGCTATATTTTTGACAAAATTAAGTTTGATCTTTCAATCAAAATATGCACGGTGAATACTTTCTTTTCAACTGAATACTGGATAACATATTCCGTTTTCTTAAATTTGACATTTTAAGATTGTATAAATTATTTAAATCCTGCTATTACTGCTTCTCGATTGAAAAGTGTTTTATTTCTTTTCGAATAATTATCGAATAACTCTCTCGTTAATAGAAGTCCGAAAGATCGAATGCATTATGTTCCGATTAAAATTCATATAAAAATTTGCACTTTATAAATGCTGTTTATTCTTGTATTTTGTAGATATTGTTTATCTCTATGGAAAAATTAATAATAATAAAAGTAGCTTATTTATCAAAGAAAATTGAAGAGAACAATATCTTTATAAATTATTTATAGCACAATCAAAAATATACTTTATGTCAACTTTACTAATCACGATCAATTGTCAATTAATAGAATATCGATAATTTTATGTGGTACAATCTAGCATTGCTCGCGATACGTTTCATTATTGATAAACGATAAACGATTTTCAGATTTTTTTTGTCTTGAAGAAATTGATCGAAAAGAATGAATATCAAGTTATAAGAACAGTATTTATTTATAAATCTATTTTGTCTATGTCATAGTTAAAAAAAGATAGAGAATTCAAGCACGCATGAAATGTCGATTCTAAACAACGCGTGTTGTTCTTGGCAAAGTTTAAAGGTATGCATTACGTATTCTTTGCGTTGCGTTTATATAAAGCTATTAATTGTATGCGCAACATCACTACAAACTGATCAGGAACGACTCTCGCTTTTCTTCCCTTCGCTTTCTTTGCCTCCGCCTTAACCACTTCTTATAATATTATAATTTTGCAATTGTAAAAAATTTCTGTTTTTATATATTTCTACGAAATTAATTTTAAACGATGCTGTATGTTATATAGATAGCAGTAAAACTTTCGTGCTTTTTCTCGAAAGCTATCATACTATACAGAGTATATGTACAATTTCATTTATTATTATAACTTTACACTAATTCTAAAGTGAAATTAACTCTTGAATATAAAAAAATAATATCGATATATAAGGTTTATTAGTGCCAAACACAATCGTTCTTACAAACGTTTCTCAACTTTGTCTTCAGGGTCGAAACGTTTGTAATTATCGGAAACTTCACAACATATCGCACGAACAATTGCAGCTCTAATGGTAGCTCCGGCGTACTCATTCAGACCTATTCATTTCTCAAGTGTATATAGCTGGCGGAAATACAAGAGCACAATGACAACAATATCATGCAGAAATTGTAACAGATTTATGAACAGTAACATATGTTTCTGTCTGGATTCAAAATCGGTATAGAAGATTGCATGACGTGAAAGAGACACGCAATACACAAGGTTACCACACTCTAATAACACTGGTCAACTAATCTAACATCCTTTTTATGTTGTGAATAAAATTTGAACTTTTCCAAGTTTAATACAGCGAATGTAAATCTGTGATTCTATTGATATGTTATGATTTTCGAATATTTCCAAATAACAAGCACATAAAAGTGTTACTTTTATAACATTTTTAATTTATATTTGCTTTGTATAAAACAGACGAATATAACAGAAAATATTAACAAATAAAAGAAAGAGGATATTCGTGCTTAAACAGCTGGTTATTCGCTAATTATTACAATCTTCTCATTTGATACATGAGTGTGTTAACAATTTTCATATAGAAAACAAAAATTAACAATATTTAGACGTTTCGATCAGTAATTTGATCATCTTCAGTAACGCAGGAAATTCTTTAAAAAAGACCGTTTAATAGTCATATGAGACTGCTAATAAGAAGTATGTAATAGGTCTACATTGTGGAATAAATTTGAGTTGTCAAGAACAAACAATTGCGAATGACTGTGACTTTTTTACGAATTTCCTGTGTTACTGAAGATGATTAAATTACTGATCAAAACGTCTAAATATTATTAATTTTTGTTTTTTATACAAAGAGTGTTAACACACACACTCATATATCAAATGAGAAGATTGTAATAATTAGCGAATAATAACCAGCGATTTAAGCACAAATATCCTCTTTCTTTTATTTCTTATTATTTCGTGCGTGCTTTATCTCTTTTTCACCTTTGATAACAGAAAATATTTTTAATTCAACATAAATGACATTTAGTTCAACATAAATGACATTTAATGATATTTAAATGACATTTAATGATATCTAAATGATATTAAAATGTTTGTAAATTCTCTCATTTCGATTTTTACAAAGTTTAAATGTATTATAGTTCGAAATATATTTATCTGTTCTAATATAAGTTTAGTTTTTCAGATGATTGAAACAGACTCCCCAGAGCTAACAATTGACGTACATAAACATAAGCAGCATAAGAGCGAAATAGCGAAAGTTTGAAGATCCAGAATCTCAACGATAAAAATTAAGTCAATTATATTGAAGTATACGGAATACTAGAAGATGCGGAATACTGGAATATTAGAATATTAGGAAATGCGGGATACTTATTTATTATGGTAAGAAATTCGCAATTTGAAAATCATAGCTCATTAAAAAGACCATTATTTGTCTAAGCAGTTCATCCGAATGTAATAACAATAATCATGCACTGACCTGGTGGAGATTTCCTCTTGTTTCGACATCTTTTCTTCTCGCTGTGGTGGTGGTTGAGGAAGGATGGAAGTGGCGGTAGCTTAATCACCCGCGAAGGACTTGTTCTTTCTCTCTCGCTCTTTCAGGCAGGAGGGCAACGGGAAACAGGATGCTCATCGGACGTTCGCTATCATCCTGTGCCTTCGACTAGACTGCCCACTGGCACCGGAGAACCCGTTCCTCTCCCTCTTCTTTTTCCCTCAGCTCTTCTCAAACCGGCGCAGGAACACCCGAAGGCTGCCCTCGACTTTTATCGTACCAAAACGGTCACCGCGCCGCGCCATTATAAGACCGGTGTGCACCACAATGTGCACCACGGTGTATACGTACGGTATGCACGGTAAGGATTGTTCTCTTCGAGTTGGCTGTCTAGCTAACTGACCGGCTAGCTGGCTGACCGGCTGGCTGGTTGACTCGCTGGTCTGGCAAAGGCGACTTTTATCTGAGCTACCACAGAGCACAGAGGTATACCGCGGAGAGACTACAAGGTGGAGACAGGTCGAGTAGCGTGATCCAGCCCGCGCGATCACCGCGAGAGGGTGGGAGATTTCTTCCACCGCGTACACAACCACCGCTTGCTCGGCTCCCACCAGTCGTGCTGCCCACCGACTTCCAAAGAAGACTAGAACTTTGCACATAATCGTGAAAATTTAATTCTAGGAATATACGTTAAATGTATCTTCTCCGACTTTTCAGGATTTTTAAGAATCCCAAATCGAAGAGTTGGCGATTGATCTGTTTGAATGTAGCTTCGAACCCTAAGATGCATTACATATATTTCTGACTTTCCATTATCCCCTCAATCAAGATTTATTATCCCCTTATTTTAATTATATGTGATAACTGTTGTAAAATGTGAAATTTGCTAAATGTTTATTACTTTAATTATAGAGTTGCTGAGCGGCGGATTCCGCGAAAGAGCTATAATTAAAATTTGAATCGAAGTTTGTGCCTTTTGATTCAGTATATATATTGAAATATAATAATGGTGCGAAAATTTATTATATTTGCGCGTATTTCATCCAATGCTGTGTATTACAGGTATCACATTCCATTGGGACACAGGAGAACGTCTTCTCCGCGCCTCTTCCTCGTCCAGTGGCGAATCTTCCTGATCTTCCTTTTAGACGGCGATCTTTTTCCACTGCTCCTTGTGCTTCTTCTCTTTCTGGCTCCCCTCCCTGCTCGGCGAGTCTGGCTCTCGGGATCGTCATTCTGCAGGTTCGCATCATTAGTTTTTATTTTGCGACAGTATGCTATTTTTATCCCGCAATTCTCCACCTCCTTTCTTCCTTCTCTTCTTCTTCTCTTTCGACCTTCTTCGCCCATCCTCGAAGACTACCTGCAAACTACCTGTAGTTATTATTATACGGAACTCGAGACCAAGGAACCCAAAGCAGGACGGAGAGTGAGGACTCAAAGGTTCCTTGATCGAAAAGTTCAAAGAACTTAAGTCTGCATTATTAATCTTACAATATGCACCTCATTCGTTAGTGTCAAAATTTTTTTTAAGATATATTTACCTTTTTAAATTATATTTATTTTTTAAGATATATATATAATTAGCATATGTGTGTATGTGTGCGTCATCAAGAAATATTTTTTTTAACTTTTTGTCTTTGATTTATTTCGAGAGACGAACAAGCGCGTGCAATATTGCATAAAAGAATTAACAATTTTTTATCAAACAAATAAGGAGCAATAAAAAAAGTACAATGAAATTTTTCTTTCGCGAAAGTTTTTCCTCCGCAAGCAGATTGATGTCGCAAAGGGGTGTCCTCACGCGTCTCTCATTCGGTTTTTTTTTTTTCTTTAACAGCGCAACGGCGCGACATACCTTTCACTACCTCCGCAACCTTCCACGGCGTGATTATTAACATAATGTTTTTCTATCGTATACGCCGCTTTTCACGAGTACGAGTTTCATGACGCGGTGCCGCCGCCGCAACCTGACGCGCGCGTCCGAGTCTAAGCAAAGTACTAACTCGAGAACTGGTTTTGCGCGGAATACCCGAGTCAGCGAACAAAGAAGGCGGCATTGATTGCGGCAGCGATTACGGTAAAAGTTTATTTTTTTCAACGCACTTAAAAAAAAAAAATTAGTGAGTGTACTTTTGCATTCTGACTCCGGTCGCAATGCTTTCAAACACGTTGCGTACCTATCTAAAAAAGGATGGGCGATGATTTTTATCATTTTATATCGAGAAGAAAACAATTCTGAAATGATTGTTAATTTTGAGCATTTAAACATTCTAGATTCTAATTTTAAATTCTAAAATAGATAATTTTTATTTTTTTAACGTTTTAATGGACATCTGCAGAAAAATATACCGTTATTGCAACCTTGTGCTGCTAAGCGAATAAGTGCCGGATATATATAGGAATTACTATCTTGAGATAAAAAAAGGATCTATGTAACAATTAATTAATAGTTTCTTATATCCTACAATTTTTCACAATTTGTTTAAAGTCCAAGGAAATCGCAATGCAAGCTGTGAAAAATATAGGACATTTGCAATATAAAATACAAAAAAAATAAACACAAAGATTCGAAAATACAATAATATAAAACTATTGCACTCTGAAAAGCTCAAAATTTTGACATTTAATTTTAAAAGCAAAAATCAAACGTAATCGATGAATGAAAAGTTTAAAAAATCGCGATAGATGTCAATTAATAGATTATGATATTTAAGTGAATCAGATTAGAATTTGGAAAGGTGCATTGTCACGTATAAATCTATTCGGTATGGGATGAAAGAAACCGCGGTAATATTTATAGTTTTTACGAGACGCAGCATGACTGGAAGCAATCGCGTGGCGTCAATATTAGCCCGGTCTGGGTCCAGAATAACTCCGGTGGGAATCCTGTCTGACCACCTTGTTCCCTGACGGGTCAGCATCTAAATTAGGTTGAATGTGCCGTTGCAAAGGCATTTAATATATTATTCGGTTATCGACTGGCTATATCGTGACGCGTACACTGATAATCGATGCATTTTGTTACGCGAGCTGCATAATATTGCAGTAAACTAAACGATCAGATATGAAACAGGACAAACAAGATCGCGTTCTTTCATACATCGCTTTATATATCAAGTTACACACGCACATAGTATTGCTTTAAGAGCTTAATGATTTAAAAATGCTCGAATTAAAATTGCCTCGAAAGTATTTTATATTAATAGTTAGATATAGAACAAATAATAAACGAAGAATAATCATCGTATTTCTTATTAGTCTTCGTTTGTGTCAATAATTAAATTTCTCGCTGAAAAGCAGTATCTAAAAAATGAAATAATGTTACAATTATTAGATAAAAATAGATAATTGTATGGATAAAAATTTATTTATATTTTTGGTAAAATAATATAACTTAATCAAGTGATTATTTCATATTGTTTATTTTACAAAGTGTTTATTAGAATTATTAATTATTTATAACACAAATGTAGGAATAATTAACTCAATAATTAACTTAACTTGTTTTTATATCAGAGTCTTATTATTTTATAAATTTAAAAGTTTTTAAATTTAAAAGTTTTTAAATTTAATATCCTGCAAAAAATTTGCCTTTAATTAAGATTCGCACTTTATTTTAGCAGAGATTCAAACTTTATTTAGCAGAGATTTGAATCCCGCTTAGCCAAGATTCAAACCACACTTATTGTTAGTCGGACTCCGCTTATGTTAGCCAAGAATCACACCTCTTTAAGTCGAGACTTAAACCTCACCACAAACCTTTAGCGAAAATTCAAATTTTACTTAGTAGAAGTTCACATTCGAATCGAAAGTATTTTATATTAATAGTTAGATATAGAACAAATAATAAACGAAGAATAATCATCGTATTTCTTATTAGTCTTCGTTTGTGTCAATAATTAAATTTCTCGCTGAAAAGCAGTATCTAAAAAATGAAATAATGTTACAATTATTAGATAAAAATAGATAATTGTATGGATAAAAATTTATTTATATTTTTGGTAAAATAATATAACTTAATCAAGTGATTATTTCATATTGTTTATTTTACAAAGTGTTTATTAGAATTATTAATTATTTATAACACAAATGTAGGAATAATTAACTCAATAATTAACTTAACTTGTTTTTATATCAGAGTCTTATTATTTTATAAATTTAAAAGTTTTTAAATTTAAAAGTTTTTAAATTTAATATTTAATTTTTTAATATTTTTTTATATATTATATATTTTAACTAATATATATAATAATTAATATATTTTTATATATTATATATTTTAATATTTTTTTAATATTTAATTTTAGTATATGAATACTTTCTTTAATATAAATTGCTAACAAGTTTATTATAGTACTTCATTCCAGTTTTCTCGCAATCGTACAAAATAAATGTATCTAAATGTATATAATACATTAAGTTATATAGAATATATTGAATGCATATTATACAAGGTATACTGAATCTCATATTCAACTGAACTTGAATTTGCATATTATCTCAAAATAATGGCAGATAATGAGAAACAACAACACATAATAACAATTAATATTCATTCATATTCATATTATTTGGTTTACAGAAGTTGTTTAACATAAATTGAGTCCAAAAATCAGTCTGCGTATCTTTATAAACATATAAATATACTCAGTTACAAAAATAAACGACATTTTTATTTAATTCTTGGCGCTTTGCAAATTATTATAAGTAACATTTTGCAAGATATACATTGGCATAAATTAATTATTGTTAAAAATATGATACCATATCGTTGCAAAATTTAGCAATTTGAATTATACATATCGTTTACAAGTCGTTTCACATAATATTGTGTATAACTATATTATTTAAAGCTAATATTATATTAGTATCATTATTAGTACATTTTGTAATCGGTATCACCAACAATAAACCCCAATTTCGTTAAAGAGATACAGGAAAATTCGAACGAGATAAAAATATTGTTTTTATTGTTGGTGAAACCAAAACTTATTGAACACATTTTTTTATATCTCCGCGAATACAACATCGTTAACTACGAATACCACATAAAACATCTGTTAGCGGAGGAAAAATGGAGCGAAATATTTATATTTATACTTTGTACGTTATTATTCGTCAAACGGAAAGTTATACGAGATTAGATTATTTGTATATAATTTTGTTTTTTATAAAATGGTAAAGAAGTCAGAGAAAGTTGCATGCATTTAGGAAATAACTATATTGGAAGACAATTATTTCGATTATAACGAGAATATATAAATAAGTAAATATGCAAAGCGTTAATTTTGCTTCAACGTATAAATTAAAATTTAAACACATTATCTTCTTCTTTTACGCACAACATATAATACATACACGTTGTTTCAAAGCATGCTATAAATTGTGCATTGATCTTCGAAAGTATTAAATATGTTACATGTAAGGCAGCGCGTTAATCAGAACTTGTGGTATATACGATATATTATTCTATTGATATTGTTAAACATTAATTACAGGATCGTTTGCGTTAAAAATGTTATTGGCCCCATTCTGATTTTATTATAACAAAAATAGCACAAAATTTCAACCACTAAGTGCTACGTGTAAATATATAGAGATAATTCTAAACAATTCAAACAGTTCTTATAAACACATTGAACAGAAACGTTATTCGCTCATTTGGCAATATCACTATGCCATTTTGATTTTCGCAATTAGACATTATGACTCAGCCTAAAGGAAGACAAATTAGAATGCCGCTAATAATAGCAGGTGCATTTTTGACAAGTAGAATATAGGGTGTGTTTAAGTCGCCATTATATAAAATATTTACGGTTAACTATTTTTCATCGAATGCACTTTTTGTAAATATTAGATATACAAGGGTGATTCAAAACAATCTGATGTCTTTAAAATGTCATATTCTTGGGCGATTTCTAAAACAATTTTCCTTTTTCCAAATTTTGTCCGAAACTTCATTTTTTATTTATAATTGAAAATAGTTCGTTACTCACACACACACACACGAGTCTGGTACAACGGGCAAGCGGAGACAATACAACGCATAACGTGACAATTTCATTTGCAAGGAAAAATCTTCCTAGAAATTGCTCAAGAATATGACATTTCCACGAAGAATAAAAGGACAAGTTATTTTAAATCGTTTTGTATATACCGCCATATTCGCATACATTCATTCATGTACGTGAATAAAGGCGAAGTATCGCATTTTAAGTAATAGACCCTCATTTTATGGACCCGGAGTTTAACAATCGAATTTTTTAACCACTGTTACCCCCTGCAGTTCATCATGGGTCTACTGTTCCAACAGAAATATTTCGTAACTTTGTTTACTCGGAACGCCAGTTGTGCTGGCATGAGCATGACAAATCATGTTTATAATAGAGTTAATGGAAAGAAATGTTCAAATAAGAAATACAAAGCAGAAACATATTTCTGCATTAAATAATCGACTTATTTTTAGTATAAAACGTTGCTTTCATATTTTAAAATGTCAGTCATAAAAAGCGTCATAAAAACTCGTGTTATTACAAAGAGAAACTTGTTTTTCCAAGTTTACTTTCTTTTTTAAAATGGCAGACATCGCAAATCGAGATCATTAATGCCAAACGCATCAGCATCGAGCAAAAGCCAGACTATACAAAATTCAGAATGACCGGTACATTGTCCGCGTCATTATATTCTCATCACTCAAATACATTATCCTAAGCAATACAGCGCGTCACAAATAATAACGGTAAACTATTTTAACTACACAGCAGTAATTATGTATACAGTCCTTATTAAAAATCATTTAAAAATATAAATATTTAAAAAATATTTTATTCGTTAAAATATTTACAAATATTTTATAAATATTTATAAATATTTTATTTAAAATATTTTATTCACTGTGCTATTGCTTCTAACATTTGTGCAAAACGGAGACTATATAGAAAAATATGATTTTCTATTGATCTGTACGTATAACAGATTGAAAAAATATAACAGTACTAAAAAATTAAAACCTGTGATGATCGATTGTTTTGCGCTGAAATTTTTCCCTCTTGATGTCGTAATTCTCACATTGTAATTAACAATGTTATATTGTTATATTGTCACGAAATAATGTTGAATGTCGACAATATAATCGTGATAAGAAACCACCCTTCATTATAACGGTAGGAAAACACGTTGGATTATTATTATTAACGAACTCGACGCCAAGTTGGTGTTTTACGAGTACTTGATTGAAACTGAATCCGTGTTATTTCGATCCTACACACCAAAAAATGCTCTACTTGCACAACAATGTAACAATTTTCCAACAGATCATAAAATTTCAAATCTCCCTATCATTTTAAATTTATCATTTTTTCAAAGTAGAATTAGAACTCACCACCAAAAATACAATCGAATAAAATCGTCAGAATTGACGATTTTATTACAGCATGCAACACTTCTTTTTATCTTTCTTATTATTCGGTTTCAGCGGCGGTCGTTCCGATAGTTGGAACTTTCTAACGATTCGCACCAGCTCGTGGAAAGCTTGATCGACGTTCATCCGGAGCTTAGCGCTGCACTCGATATATGGAATTTTCAATTGACGTGCCATATTTTGCGCCTCTTCAATCGACACCTGAAATCCGAGATTGATCGAACACAGGTACGCTATAATATTATCTATTGTAACTATTTAAAATATTGTTTTAAATTATTTTTATCCGAAGGAATATTTGTAGAGAAGCCATTAACTTTCTCTTCATGATAAATGTTTTCTTTCGAAGAATTATGAGCAACACAAATAATTTTTGAAATCGGATGCTTATTAAGAGAACAGTAAAAATGGAAAGTGGACGAAGATATAAAGAAAACAATCCTAGAGAGAAACAAAAATCGAAAAAGAAAATATATGGCAGACTCAAAAGATGACATAGTGATTTATGATATGGTAAGGTAACACGCTGTTTTCACAGGAACTTTAGACGGGGAAAAATACGGAAAAACACACGATACATAATATTTACGATAGTACTTACGCTTCTTTGATGATCCAAATCCGCTTTATTTCCAACCATTAGCATAGGAAATTCATCTCGATCTTTCACCCGTAGTATTTGCCTGTGAAACTTTAGTATTTCATCAAAAGATGAATGATCAGTAACGGCAAACACCAGTAGAAATCCTTCGCCACTTCTCATGTATTGTTCACGCATTGCGCTAAATTCCTCTTGGCCAGCAGTATCCAGTACTAAAATAATTTTGGTTTATAAAGAATACTTTTTAACACATTTTTTTACAGAAACATGTATCAATAATTTTAAAATTGTAAGTGATTGAAGGATTTTTTACGAATTAAAATTATGCAAACAAATAAATCACAAAATTATATTCTTCACAGATAAATTTCTTATATAATAATATTTTAAATTGCTAGAAATTCTTCTTTTATAAGAACTTATAAATTTTTAATTTCACAGACACACAGACATTTTTTATGTTAAATTTTCTGAAATATCTATTTCTTACTGTCGAGTTTAGCTGGCACATCATCGATAACGCACTGCTTCGTATAGGAATCCTCGATCGTTGGATCATAATCGGTTACGAAATAACTCTGAAAAAAATCAAAATTTATCTATGTGTTCATCATGAAAAAAAAAACAATTATTTTTAAGTGGACAAGAATGAAATAAATTTCTTATATGTTTAGTTTTATATAGATTCTATAATAATATTAATTTTATATAAAGAATAGAGTTAAAGCAAATAAGTATTATTTATTACAATGTTAATTGATAGCAAATAATTTTATCATTTATTGCAATTTATTTATTTTCTATTTAATATTATACACTTACACAATTAAACTTTACATATTAATTAAGATCTTATTACAATTTATTTGAAAAAAACTGGAGAATATAATTTTGTTATTTCATCCATCTTTACATAATATGGTTTTGGGCATTCTTCGGTTATTAGTCAGATGGAATGCTCATTAAAGAGATATAATTGGAATTCCGTCCCAAATTATGCGACAATTTACGGATGTTTTCAAGGAGAAGAATGATGTCATCTGGCGATACTGATTATCGACAAATCACACCGATATTATCGACTAACATCGCGCATTTCGCGATTCGTACCGCGTCCGTCGCGCGCTCGAGACTTCGCCGGAATCGACGCTCCACGGCGCTGCCGCGTATATGACCATATATGACGATTGCGTTCGCGCTATGACATAATGCCAACAGCCCATCGACAGCCCAGCTTCTATCTATCTGCGCTGTCGTCACGCGTTACACAAACGCTATCATTCGCTCTTGGATTTCATAATTACGCCCCCGTTTGCTCGGAGACGGAAGGTTTGTTAATAATGACGAGCGAGTCAACAATAGAGGCTTTAAGAGCAATCTTAAGCGATAATGACATTGAAGGAAGAAACGCAATTTCTTTGTTTTTTTTTTGTTTTTTTTTTGTCTGCTTCGAGAGAAGGAAACTTGGAATCTGTCAAGTGTGGATCTAGGAAAAAAAAAACAACGCCTTCCGTTGACGACGCGCGCTCATAATCGATATATCTGCTTGCAGACGCACACAACTGCATTCAAGCAGCTATATTAAAGTCAAGTGGACGATGCGCTGGACTCACCTGAATGAATTGTATCGTGATTGCCGATTTTCCGACACCACCCCCACCCACGACGACGAGTCTGTATGTCTGCGCGTAGCTCTGCCTGTCAGCGACTTTCGACATCTTTTTCTCTCACTCGACGAGCGACAAGAGCATACGGGGGAAAGCTCTCGCTGGCGCCGCACACGCGCGATTAAATGCTCATCTCGCGCGCGACTGAACACGCGTGTGCGACCAACGTAGCACCGATAAATGGGAGAGAGACGTCGTCACGCGTCACGTATGCACGTCGTGGGCTCACGGACGTTTCCCCGGAGTCGCCGAAGCCAAGGCTGAGGCCTCGGTCGTCCCGCTCGCGACCGCCCGAGACTTGCAAACTTTTTATGGACGAGATTCAACTTCGGGTACACAAGTCGCGAGAGGCGGATACACAAGACAGTTCGCCGGACAACCGTCCGCGGCGCTAAGACTTTGGAGAGGGGCATCCCGTCAAGACGGAATTGAAAGATTAAAGCGATGAGATGGACGAATTTGTTTAGCGCATACATGCGCTGTAACATATGCAGCGATGAAATGACTCCGAACTGCCTCACATGATTTCGATTCACGTAGATCTTCGTTTTTAGCACTTCGTGGAACTATAATATTACGCGACGAAATCAATTACGTAGTATTGCGTGATGAAGTCGATAATCTATAATGTTACATGTAAAAAATAATTTATAATATTACGCGATAAAATAGACACGATATCAGTAACGATTATCTTACAATTAGTAAGCGAAATGCTAAATGTAATCAGCTACTTGAATTTCGCACCTTTCGGAGGAGAAAATCCGTCCGGGAGGGGATTTTGCTTGATCGCAGATTTTTTTTCTTACGTTAATGATCTCTATTTCTCTTTTTCTTAATAGATATTTATAATAAATTATATATTTCACTTTACAGATATTTTTCGGTTGAACGCTATCCCGTTCCATTTTTAAACTAAGATACAAGTCCTTTTTGATACGGAACTGAGAAATTCCTGGAAGAAACCCATGAGCAGATGCGTTGCGAAAGCTTGCGGTGAAGATAAGAGTCCGGCGACGAAGTAAGCATAAATCATACGTGTATAATAAATAGCAAATGTACATCAGTGCACAAAACAACATTGCAATTGATAGGAGAATTAATCGCTCCGTAATGAAACGAATTTACATATTACATTGTTGTTTAAACCTTGAAATAGATATTCGTCTCTAAAACATTGATTTGTTCCGCTCTGTTTTAGAAACGCTTAATTAATTATGTTATATAATGTTCCAAAATTGGCAACTAGCAGGCACAAAAGTTTGCGTCCCTTGTGAAATTCGTGAGTCCATCTTTCCTGAAAATCGCAGAGGTCATCCATTTGTCACAATCCTTCACATTTCAATATATTTGATATTTTATTAAAGAATTCTCAAATTATAAAACTTCTTCGAAGTAAATTTTCAAGGAAGAATAATCATCTCTTATTTATTCACGCCTCTGAGCTTGACTTGTGAGAAGTCCTGCACATTTTCATTGGTTCATAGCTCGCAAAATATTTATTTATTTTTTTTTTATCATGATATTTCGTTGACAAAAAGCAACTTCACAAATTTCGGCAGCATTACTGTGTATTCGTTTTTTTCCTTCACTTTTAGGAAACTTTAATTATTTTACACTTTTATATTCATCAAATTGCATTTTTAACAAGAACAAAAAAAAATAATTTACAGAAAAATACTACGAAAAAGAAATTTGTAGCTTTGCTTTTTTTGACAATTATTGCTAATTTGAATGCTTTGTCAAAGATACTTGGAAACTATAAAATACATATCAAACTAAATAATCAAAAAATAAATATATAAAAAAAAGGGCAGACATACAGAGATAGTTCTTTTCGTTTTGATACATCGCTTTTCGCAGTCTTGCCTCTCACACATAGGATAGTGATATTGTACGAAATTGTTTAATTCTTTAAGAGTGAAAAATTACACTGCCGAACAATAAAGCTATGCTTTGACGGATGAGAGTGTGCAATTGAATTTCTTTACAGAAGTATGCAAGAGAGTATCGAAAAAGTTTCGAGACTGATCAATTATCATAAAACAAAGTTTGAAAGAAATCTATGGCTTGCCGCTTTTCAAACTTTCCAAATTTAGTTTTTTTTTTGTAAGTAATAGATAAGTAGATGGTATGTCTTAAATTTTGTCTGGTAGATGCAGTCTTAAATTTTTTTTTGTAAAATAGAAATTGTGTGAACGACGAAGTACTTCTGAGAATAACAATTCCTATTTTTTTATACTTTTAGAAAAAAAGAGAAATATCCAACAAATTTTTGAAGGATTGATGAGGATGGGAAATAACTGAATGAAATAACTTATTGTTTCATCCCAAGAAAATAAATTTAACAAATATATTAGACGCAGTTCTACAAAATAATGTTCGGTACAACTAGACTAGACGTCTTATCATAACACTGATTCCAAGGGACCGCTTCAAAGGAAGACAAGCCAGACACAATATATTCTTTTCAGGATTTCGTTTTATTTTGCAATTCACTCAGCTCTGCAACTTTTTGGACACATCTTGCATATTATCAGATTCGAATTACGCATTCTTCTCCAATATTGCACCTACGAGAAAATTATGTATCACGTTTGTAATGTGTCACGCGACTTTCCATCGTCACAGCGAGTGATTAGTTTTTTTTTTTTTCTTTTAACATATTCGCCGTAAATTACACATACAATGAACGAAAGGAATTTTGAGTAGAAAATCTTTACGACGTGCTTAGACAAAAATATTTTTCGCTTAATTAAGGCACCGATGTACCTAACTTATCGGTAGCTTGAAGAAATCGCGTTGCTTTCTATATTTGCGCGACAAGAGCCCCTGTACAGTCTTGTGAAATACTTTAAAATCTGCAAAACGACTTGAGAACTGCAGCAATCGCTCAAATTTTGTTTATGTACTTCTGTTGAATGTTATTTGCCTATTCTCAAGAGTAATCCTCGCGTTCACTCCTTTTTTTCTCGTTTACTTTTTCCTCCTCGATAGAATTTCGTATTAAATTGTTTTGGCATAAATTACACGGCATGAGCTAGAAAAGAGAAAAAGATGTAAACTTATTTACGCGTAGGGCACAATACACACTGTCCGAATGCATTGGCATTCTTCTCTCTCTCTCTCTTTCCCGAATGAAATTATCGTACCCAAAATACGTAAAAAGCGGACCGTTGTCATGTACCATCGTTCGCTCGAAGATGAGAAATTGAACGTCATCAACACCTATTTTATTATCGTGTAAAAATAATGCAGTGCTAGTGTCGCGTTTCATGATATCAACTATTCTGTATCTACATAATTTATATCTCACAATTAACAACTCATTTCGCTTACGATCACAAAATCAATCACGCGAATGCCTTTTGCTCTGACGTTTTTGTAACTCAGCACTGATCATGTTTTTTTTTTTTCTTTTTTCTTTGAATGTTCTCTTAATTTTTTCACCACAACGACAACGATAACGATGACAGAGATGATGATAATAATGATGGTAATGATAACAATAGTTTGTGAGAATAATAGGGGAGAATAGAAGCGAGGGGGCAGTAGTAATAATTGACATAATAGTACTAATAACAATAATAATATTAATAATAATAAAAATAATATTATTATAATATATTATAATATAATATTAATATATAATGATTATACACAACATTATATTATAATATCAAAATAATAATAATAATAATAATAATAATAATAATAATAATAATAATAATATATGACGATGACAGTACGGAGTGACCGTTCGTCACACGATTAGCGTGATAACGATTATAATAACGGGAATGACGATGACGAAGAGGATGTAACGCGTTGGCGTAAATAGAAATGAAGACAATCAGGAATCGCAATAGAAATCGCTAATTTCAATAGACTGACTGATCGATCAAGACGCCGATCGATCACTTTTAATATTTGCAGGTTCTCCTCACAATTCTTTTTTTCTCAGGCGGGAAAGGGGACAATAGAATAAGATAATAAAATCACTAATCGATAATAACATAAGGCATTATGTGGAGGGTATCGCCCTGGTAACTGGGCCTCGCTAGCATCTGATGCCACTCCCGAAACTCCGTACTGTCAGTCTGGTTGTTATGCACACTTTTTACACTATCCACGTTCGACAATCCGGACGACACTCGGTTCTCGCCGTCCCTAGCGTTTGAGCGCTCGTCACTGTTGGAACACGCGTCCGCCGACAACCTCGGCTGGTAGTTACCGTTAAGTCCTTCGATGAACTGCGAGTGTAACCTCTCGAGATCCTCGGCGTTAACATCTCGCGGTGGCGGCGAACACTCGGCACCATTCTGCTCCTCGTAATCGCTCCAATCTATCGCGTTGCGATCTAAAGGTGGTAACTTGGCCAGTATCTCCTCAACCGTCAGGTTTCCGGACACTCGACACGTCGATGACCCGGCGGTGGCGTCCGCTGATCTGTCGTCCTCGCGCAATCTGTCCTGACACGACTCGGACGAAGACTCGCGACAGTTCTCCTCGGATTTCGACCGAGTCCCGTGTGCTTTGGTCGATCGTTGCTGGTTGGCAGACGACGTCTCAGAGGAGGCCAGATTTCTATGGAGACTTTGGGAGTTCTTCTGGCTTGAGCAACGCAAATACTTGGACACCTGCTCGTTGCTGCTGCCTCGCAGAACATCCTCCATACTGGGCGGTTCCGCGACGCTTTGACTAGGTTGGGCATTCGCGCTGGCGATGGGGTTACAGTTGCTTCCGCGCGCTTGCAGATCGGCCAACAGCTCCTGTGTGGTCTTTAATTTGGGATTCCTCGAGATACTGGCCAGCTTCTCCTTCACGCTGTCCTCCGGCAGCGGCTGCTGCTTCACGGACTTGCTGCCCTTCTTCCGGCCGCGCTTCTTCGGGCCTGAGTTGTCGTCCGTGGCCTCGAGGGAAATCTCCGTGAGACGTTCGGAGATTCGTTCCTTCAGTGTAGGGCTAGGCACTTGCGAATTTAAATTACCACTTATGTTCTCGCCGTTGAGCCGCTGCTTCTTGACTTGCTCCATCGTCGGCGCGGTTCCGTGCGGCGATTGGTAGTGCTGACTTTGCTCCTTGCCGCTCTCCTCTTTTCGCAACCGCTTGTTGGAACTGTGTGTACGCGGCACCGCTTCTGTGGCATGATTCTGACTCGAGGAACCGAGCACCGGCGACGCATTCCTCGAGCAGGAACTTATCCTGTGATTGCTGGTCGGTGTAATTGACTGTTTGTTGTTCGAGGATGCGTTAGGAGATCGTGAGTGGTCGCTGTGCACGGACAGCGCCGGACTGAGCACCTATAATCATACATTTGTGACATTACAAAGATGTGAAGAAATAGAAAGCTAGAAAAATGTCTTGGATATTTTGTCATATTTATACCGTTTCTCATAATAGGCGATTTCTCTTAAAAACTCACTCTGAGGGGAGTAGTGGCATCTCTTAATGAGGGACTATGAGGCTTGAGCGTCATGAGTGCTAACGACGATCCTCGTAATAGAGGACTCTGGGGCTTGAGATTTCTGAAGGCGCCATTGAGAGCCGATGGTGCTGTGTCAGCCAAGGTAGGCTGCGGTGTAGAGTGTACCGGTGGTAAAACCATGTCTCGCCAGCGGCGTACCAAATCCTTCGCACGCTTGGCCAAGGCTTCATTACTCGTCTTTCGACGAAGCTCGTTGATGTGTTTCCCAAGTCTCGTAATCTATCAATTAGAAGTTTTCATATTATAAAACAATTCTTTTCATATTATTCGATAGGCACTTGTGTGGAGAACAGAAACAATTTAATTGGCTTAAATCGATTTAAATTATAGAAAAGAAAAAGATGTAGTTAACATTAGAAAAACACATATGCATATATGTATATTTATCACGAGTTAAATATTTTATCTACTTCATTATGAGAAGTCATAATTTATTAATGTAAAGAAAAGTATTATTGAAGTACATCATTATTTATTGTGTTAATATTTGCACGTTTGCAAAATCTTATCTTTTATATAAAGTTAAATACATATACAATGTACTCAATTGTTACTGCGAATATAACATATTATTAGATAGCATTCACAATAGCTACATAATCTTATTGAATTAAAAGAATAATATCCAAATTAGAGTTCATTTTTTAACTTGTAATATTTTTGTATTTGTATTCTCATATATATATATATATATAGCACAGAAAAATGTGCGACATTTTTTAAAAAAGCAGTAATGTTATATAATACATAACAGTATAAAATTATGGAAAACTTCTTAAGTTGTTACCTCCAGCACTTCTTTAGTGATTGTGGTCTTTTCCAGTGCCGAAATAACATCCACAACAGTTCGCATGTCCACGACCTGGAACAGAGTATATATATATGATTGCATTTTAACATATGCTCATCTAATTACAAGATATGAAAATTACAAACTAATATTGCGAGATTCCATCACATAAAAAAGAAACATTTGAAAAGAAAATTCTAATGATGAATCTTATTAACAATAATTTATACTGTTTGTAATGTATACTGTTTTCTAGGAAAATATTTAATATTATATTTATTTATATTAAAAGAATATCAGATACAATCTATTCGTTTATTCATATTCTTTTAGAAAATGTAAAAATTTATATCTAATTTTATTCAATTAATTACAGGCACTCATTGTTAGAGAATAAATAAATTTTCTGATTGCGAGAATTGCGTCATGATTGCCAAACGATATCGAACCTGCGACGACATTTTACGTCTAAAATTCCTTGTAGCAGAATCAAGGATGCAAAAAATTCACTTTGCATAATGACCAAGTGATCAGATTGGCACGAGATTGTTACAAAACACACGTGTACGCCGCAGTAGTATAAAAATCAGTATTCATAGGCAACATGGAAAATTTTACGTGGCTTCCACGTCTCGACATTGGCGATCAAAGTAAAAAATCAGTTTGTTTCGCTCGAAAGAATCGTCGTATATTCGTATAAACGTTTAGAAATTAAATTTAGAAAAAAAACTAGGCGAAAATTGATGCAGAAAAGGATAACAGTAAAGATGGCTTAATGAACGTGATCGACAGACCTCACATAATGACACGCAATCGCCGTATCATGATACGGCCAAGAAAAAAAAAATACGGCAGATAAAAATACGTGTACGAAAATTTCACGATCCTAATTGCATTGGATACAGCACGGCGCATCAAAATGCTTAACCTAAATTGAGGTTATGTAGCCAGGTCGTCGAAAACGCGCTCACACGTACGTCATACGTTACGTACACCTCGACTATACCGGTATCCTTTTCTATTTCTCCCGCTATCTCACTCGCTCTCTTTGCATGTACACACGGCGGCGCGTGAACCAGTGTGCGAGCGCGCGGATAAGCGGGACCGAAAAGAACCGCGCAGATTGCCTCCGTGTCACCGTAGCAAACGTCACGCGGCACGGAAAAGGATGTCACACATGGCACGACATAGTATCGCACGACCGACGGCGACGACGACCCGCGGCGGCCGCGGCGACACTCATACACGCGCGGGCCGTCGCTGCCGCCACGCTACCACACGCACACGAGCACATACGGCGGGGCTCTCTCGCGCACGTCACTGGTACAGGCAGCAACACGGCGCACGGGGGATCGAGAGTGGCCCGATAGCCGTTTGCGCGTACGGACACGGAGACGGCGCGGTGCATCTCGCCGCGACACACCACCACTCCGCCTTACTTACATTGTATTCCTTGTCAAGAGATTTTAACAATTTTTCGGTGAGTTCGCTGCAATATCTCTGCATCGGGATATCGCGCATGGGGGGGCCCACGACGGGGAATATATTATATTGGGTTAAGCGGAAAAATAGAGTCCTGAGGCTCCACGCGTATACGAAGTGTCGCGATGCTTGTGAGACACGAGGGGACTCGCAATGGCGACTACCGAACTGTGAGCTCCACCGTCGTTCGCATGCCCTCCCTGCCTCCCGAGTGCCTCCTAGTCGCTGCCCATGCATCGTCCCTAACCCCACCAATGCTTTACCGAAGTGCCACTAGCGACACCAGTGGCCAACCGAACACTGTCGAATGCGCCCGAATCGCACCCTCCGTCTCCGCGCCTCACGTTTACTTCCTACCCCCTTCGCCCCGCGAATACCCCGAGCTTCACAACCGAAACACGTTTCCCCCGCTATTGGCGCTTTCGGCCGTGTTCGCGTCAGTTCGCATTCGGTGCGCTCGGTCCGCTCGGCGCTGTTCGACAGGACGCGATACGATGCGCACGAATGGGTGGATCGTTGATGGAACAGCGATGGTTCTCGAATAAATGGAATAAATTGCACCGACAGCTTTAAACTTATTGTTTAACAGCATATTTAGGGCTAATTTTAACCGTCATATATTAAGTGCGACCTTTTGTGTCAAATAAATGGAATTTATTATCAAACGATCGCATCTAGCTCTAAATCCGACGCTAAATACAGGTGTAAATACGGTTGATCGTGGTTAATGATTTTCCCCTACATTTTATATAGGAAGTGATGACTCATCGTATTCCAATGTTACAAAAAGTATAATATGCATTCTTTCTAACTCACAGTCTATCAATATTTGTCCCAATAAATTGACTAATATTATACAGAATTAAGCATTGAAAGCACTTCGAAACATAAAGCTAATAAAATATAAAATAAATATTTATACAAAGTATAAGATGCTTCATTTAATTCTCAACTTTACCTTACCTGAATATTTTTACGTGCAAGATATCTAGAAAAATCGATTTATATAAAAAGAAAAGTCGTAAGAAAGGAAGAGATGACCTTCAAATATTAAAAGCAACTCCATCCGAAACGAAGTTGTGTCGAGTACAAAATGTCCTCCTGAAAATCATGAAATCTTTATACGACCCAATTTTTCTTCACGAGTAATAATATCGACATAAATCCAATGTGGTAATATCAAGTTTCTCATCCTTTTTATCTAAAGTTTCTCCCCTGCTTCACAATTTATCTATTGTAATTAAATTATCAGTCATACATGGCCGTAGGTAATGTCTGATGTACACTAGAGTCGATGTGGATATCATGAAAATGTAATGAAAATTCCGTACAAAAGCGAGCAATTCGACAAATCACAAGAATATCTACGACTGCAATCGTATCAAGAACGTCAACAAACTAATGAATTTGCTCACTTTTGTGGTTTCTCGCTACGTTATAATCATAGATTTTTATTTCGATAGTCATGATGTATAAATATCTAGATGTGACGTCGAATTTTTTAACCAACGGTCATGAAGCACGAACATTCAGATGGCATAACAACTGTGAATTTAATAACTGTGTTCTTTTTTTATAGCGTTTTCGATTATACAGGATTTGAACGACCCAGGGTTGATCAATCACTATTTTACTATAAATGCAAGTCTTTCATTGGTGGAGAGGTTGCAATGACGTCATTAACCAACCCTGGGTCGTTCAAATCCTGTATAATCGAAAACGCTATTAGACTACAGTAAAAATGATCAAGTTTATAAGTGCAAAAGTGCAAGAGATTTTTTTTGCACTGTGTAGGCTGTAGGTCTATTCTTTATAGCTGAACTGGTTGCACTAGTTCAGAGTTCATCTTTCTCTTTCCAATGTGGAGGGAAAAAAATAAACTCTGAATTAGTGCAGCCAATTCAGCTATAAAGAACAGACCTTGTATTTTGATATACACTGCCAAACTGGAAATTTATAATATACGTGACGTGAACTATAATTTCTAGTACTGGCAGTGAATTTCGGAACGCAGCCGTAGTAAATTTGAAAATTTGTTTATATATTTCAAATAAAGTTTCTTTTTCAACGAAAATTTTAATATGAGATGTGTAATAGACACACATGTGTGATAGAATTCTTTTTTCAATTACCTCTAGTAGTTTACACTTAGCAAAAACGAAATGCATCTGACTGCATTTGAAATTTTGTATAATGTATCAATCTATAACTAACCTATGATCGTTGTATGATTAGTATGTATGTACATATGATTCGTATGTATGGCGAACTTAATGTATATGTAATGACGTGTAAATGTTGAGATTATTCAGTGGACTTTAAACATAAGTAATTAAATTCTGCCTTATCATTGAGCAAATACAGTCTTCCTGTTGTGAAGAACAGTTAAAAGGGTTAAACTTGAGCTGACAGATTGTTACGGTTTATAAATTGTCAAAATTTATGTTTAATATTTTTGCTAAATATATAAAAATGCCACAGCAATTGCGTTATGACGGCCGAGTAGTTGCGGTAACGGGAGCAGGCGCAGGTAAATATTTTTTATCTTTATATCCTTTTTCAAAATTTTATTACTTATTTAACATATGTAAAACTGTATTGTTCAATATAACACGGAATGTGAAAGTAGGAAGTGGAGATAATGAGAAAATAAAATAAAATATGTGAGGTAAATTTTTCATAGTATTAAACTTTATAGTATTAAAATCAGTTTTGTTTGATAGTTTTCAAGAAACATGATTTTAAACATGAAAATAATGTAAATATTTGACCTTCTGTTGACATTTCTGTACATTAAATACATTATATGTCAATATATTGAAGATGATACATAACATGTCCATGATGTATCGTTTATGTACTGACAACATATATGCATTAATATTTTAGGATTAGGACGAGTTTATGCATTGTTGTTTGCATCTAGAGGGGCTAATGTGGTCGTAAATGATTTAGGAGGCAGTAGACATGGAGATGGAAGCAGCACCAAGAGTGCTGACACCGTGGTCCAAGAAATTCGGCGAAATGGTTGGTATTTTAATGTTATGGATGAATTATGAAAATCGTAATTGAGTCTATTAATAACATGAACTTTTTACGATCACTTCTTTTTCTCTCTCTATTCTTGTAATTTATATATGTAATTATATATTATTTAATTATTATAGTTATAATTATATTTTAGTGTAAAATTTTAATTTAAAGGAATGCTTGAAATCTTTTGTATTTACTTTATTGTATTTTTGCAAAATTTTATGAATGAGTAAATTTTAATTACAAGCTTCTAATTTTATGTAATTTTCATATTTAACTCATTTTGAATAGTCAATTCTTTCATGAAAGTAATAATGAGGATGTTTTTTACGTGTCATGATGCAAGTATGCATGTTCTCTATATAGTCATTTGCATAATCTACAGATAATATACAAATAAAAATATAAGTCATGTATATTATCAGTTACTTTGTAAACTCTAGTTAATTAAAGATCAAATTCAAGATATTTTTAAACTTATTATTAAGTATAGTAAAATCTTATTATGTTTCAATAGTTGTATAATTAAATTACTTAATAAAATAGATACGCAGTATTAACTTTATCTAATGGAAATAATTTAATCGATAATAAAATATATAAATTGTAGACTTCTAAACAAATAATTGATAATTTATTTTGTTTAAAATTTTTAATGTGCATAATATTTAAAAATAAAATAATGAGTGTCAATAATAATTATAATTTCTAGGAGGAAAAGCTGTTGCGAATTATGATTCAGTGTTGGACGGGGAGAAAATTATTAAAACGGCAATTGATGCATTCGGTCGTATTGACGTTATTGTTAATAATGCCGGTATTCTAAGAGATGTATCATTCATGAAAATGTCTGATGCGCAATGGGGTATGTAAGCAAGATAGTAAACAAAAATTACCATTTCTCCTTTTATCGTTCCTGAGTTGCTTATATATATAACGTACACAACGTATGCTTGCACATATGTTTCAGACACGATACACGACGTTCATCTTAAAGGTTCTATGAAAACAACTCGAGCAGCTTGGCCGCATTTTATTAAGCAAAAGTACGGCCGTGTAATTTTTACTTCTAGTAACAGCGGTCTGTATGGAAATTTCGGACAATCCAATTACAGCTCGGCAAAACTAGGTCTTGTGGGATTAGCGAATACATTGGCCATTGAAGGTGCAACAAAAAATATTTACACCAATGTGATAGTGCCCACAGCTGGCTCGCGTTTAACGGAAGATATTCTTCCACCAGGTGAGTTTATTTATTTATTTTTTTTTTATTTTATGGTCATCTTTATCATTATCTTATAAAATTTTATGTAAATATTTATACTTTATACATTTTAATAAATTTATTAATAAAATTTCTTCTAAAATAAAAAAATTTAAAGAGAGTAAAATTAATAATTAGTAGAGTAAAATTAATTAAAAAAATATATTACTTAAATTACATTCTAAAAACCGTAAGACCTGTTATTTTGCCAAATATCAGGATAAAATAAAAGATGATTTATCACTTTACAGATTTCTTCGATCAATTAAAGCCTGAATTAATAGCACCCGTTGTTTTTTGGTTGTGTCACGAAAAGTGTAATGAAAACGGTTCAATAATCGAAGCGGCATTAGGCTGGGCTGGCAAGTGTGAGTATCGCTTATTAAATTTTCTTTATTATTTAATTTTTTAATTGATCTTTGCACAAGTCAGTTTTCTTTATCAATCGAACAGTGTTGTGTGAAAATAAATTGAATATATTTATCTATTGTGGATTGATGTAACTTCAGTAAGAAGAAGCAACACTTTAAATAAATTTTTAGATTATTTGTAGTTAAATATTTCACATATAGATTTGTATTTATCTTACATTATAAATTAAAAAAAAAATGATATTTTTGTATTAAAGATTTTATAAATTTTATTATAGTTTTTACAAGTTTTTGTAGTATTGCAATAGCAAGTATAAAAGATGACATGTTTGAATTTATAGGTCACTTGGTTCGCTCTTCGGGTTCTGTTCTGCGGCAAAGCTTATCAGACGATGTTACGCCAGAAAACGTACAACAAAATTGGTCAAAAGTAACCGACATGACTTCGACAAAGCGACTCAATAATATTCAGGTAAGAGAGATCGCTTTTAAATAATTTGAATTTCTTACTCTTAATCTTACCTTATTCTTAATTTCTTATTTTTTAGGAAGCAACAGGAGAACTGTTAAGTGTTATTGAAACCTTAAAAGATGATGTTTCTTCAGAAAAAGTAAGTTATGCCCAGTATGATTTTTTCTTTGGCTGAATAGTATTTTTTTATTCTTATTATTTCAACTATTTACAGGGAATCTATGTTATCGGTAATAATTATGGTAATCGTGACATTATATTGTACGCGCTTGGAGGTATGTTAGATTAATTTGGAAATGCACTTTTTTTTTATTTATCATGATTTGTATTAATTTACTGGATTTTGTATTTCAGTCGGAGCCACAGTTCAAGAACCAAGCGATATCCGTTACTTGTATGAAAATGCTGACGAATTCGCTGTTGTACCTACTTTCTATGCTTTGTATGGACCTGAAGGATGCATGAATACTTCCATAGTGCAGGATGCTCTGCCAAATGCACAATTCGATCCAACAAGGGTACGAAGTTCTGTCATCTATTATTATTTTAACGCTTTGCGCATATTTATTTCATATTATTTTTAAATTTTTATGTTTATTTTATTTTATGTTATTGTAAACTTATTCAAGAATATATTTTTTAAATTTATATTTATCTGACAGTTATCTAATTCTATTTGTAGTCACTCCATGGTGAGCAATATCTAGAAGTTTTTAAAAAACTTCCTACAGAAGCAACAGTAGAGACTCGCTTCGAAGTTCAAGATGTTTTGGATAAGGGATCAGGCGCTGTTGTCTTAGTTAAACGTATGTAAATTTTATCATTTTTATATAATTTTATATAATTTAGTTAAGGTACATATTTAGCAACACAATTACTATTTATAAAAAATATTAAAAGAAATATAATATTAATTTTATTAATGTAATAATACGTGATTGTGTAAAATTATGCAAAATGGTTGCAATAACGTTTATGTTTAACTTTATATTATTTTTTGTATTTTTTTAGATGAGACTTATGATGTAACAAATGAAGAGAAGCTGTCGACTGGACAATTATCTGTATTCGTTGTTGGCGCAGGTGGTTTTCAAGGAAAACGAACATCGCAACATGTCATTCCAACTATTGATCCTCCCTCTCGCAATCCAGATGCAACAATTACACAACAGACTAGCTTTGATCAAGTAAGAAAAATAATAATGTGAAACATAGTTGTGTATCAAAATTAGGATTCACATTTTAAAATATTAATAAAATTTAAAAATTTACAGAAAAAAACGTCAATAGTTTAGAAAAATACAATTTTGAGAACCTATTCTTTTTTATCATATTTCTTAAATCGTTATATTGTTAAAATCGAACCTCTTCTTTATTTTTTATATATTTAACAGAACAGAAATATTCAAGTGTTTTATTGTCTCGGTTCTTGTTTTAAGTGCTCTATTTTATATAGATTTATATGGTTGATTATTTTGATATTATATTTACAGGCTGCTTTATATAGATTGAACGGAGATTTCAATCCTTTGCATATTGATTCGAATATTGCTGCCATGGCAGGATATGAAAGACCAATATTGCATGGGTTATGTTCTTTGGGATTTTCTACCCGCCACGTTCTTCAGACTTACGCTGCTGGAGATCCATATTTATTCAAATCCATTAAGGTACATTTAGTATTAAAAAAAAGATATTATTTTTGCAGTTGTAAGAATAAAAGCAAAGGTCAATGTGAGGAAGATATAGTTTTTATGTTATAAATTTATAACGGAATTTCAAAGCAATTGGAATTATACCATTTATAAAATTTATATTATTTTCTTTAATAATAATGTGTTTGTACAAATTAGAATTCTATCTTGAAATTGATATTCTGTGCTTGAAATGTTTAAGATAAGGAAAGATTTAAGAAAGATAAGGAATCAACTATTTTACATGCATAGAAACAAAGTTCAATGCTAAAAGTATTATATTGAGAATGTAGTTGAAGTTTATCGCCAAGTCTCATGAACCTTTGCACTCAATTAACATAGTAATATATACATATATGAATACGCAATTAATGCTTACGCAAAAAAAAAAGAAATTTGAATTGATAATGTGGCACAGAGATAAGTTATTATATAAAGCAGAAGTGTAATCTAAGATATGACAGTAGTGAACAGGCCTTAGCTTAGAGAGGTTGGTACAATTATGTGGACGTACATATTAGGGTTAACGTCATTAAATTATTCTTTATCAAAAATAATTTAATTAAAACATATACAAAAGATGTGAGAAGTTTTAAAAAGTCCTTTTCTTTATCTTTTTCAAATAAGTTCTTTGACGCAGTAAATGTTATTGCGCTGTATTTAGCTGCATCATCATGAATCAACATTACTCTGAAACAATTATATTATCTTTATTCAACAATTTATGACTTATAATGTAGAAAATGTGAAATTGTTAATTTATTTGCTATTGGAAAAGAATTTGAATACAAGCAATTATTTAATTCGCTAATGTGTTAGTATGCCGAAGGTAATGGAATATTCAATATACTTTTAGTGTCTAGCTGACTTGCACAAACGTGAAATACTTATCTGACTTGTTAGGTATGACCGCGCATTCCATTATAGATTTCTTACCTTGTCAACATGTACTTTTGTACTCATTTGCCTTTACTTTAACGAACATGTCACTGCATACTACTTCAAAATTTTATCCTTGAATTTTAAGATTTTTATAACATTTGTATTAACATACAATGTATATACAATGTTGGTACGTGTGCATTATCATTTTAGGCGAGATTTGCAAAGCCAGTCTTGCCGGGACAAACGTTGCGTACTGATATGTGGCGTGACGGTAACAGGATACATTTCCAGACGTCTCTCGTCGAGTCCGGCGTACCAGTTGTAACAGGTTAGTCGTTGGATTGATTTTATTTCCTTTTAATCTCGCATGATTTTTTAATTATACAGAATAACGCAATATTACTCTTAGCACAAGTTATAATACACTTGTTTCTATCGTTCCAAATCGTAAAAGATTTTAGAGCTCAATTAAAATATTTCTGTGAAGAATATTTTTAAATAATTGTATATTAATTATGATTTTGATACATATATATATTGTTTTATTATTTATTTTAAAGCTTTATCTTTTTATTTATAGAAGTAATAAAATGTGTAAACAGATAAATTTACTTTACAGGCGCTTACATTGACCTGTTGGACGTTAAAATGGAAATACCACGCGCGAATCCGTGTTCCGGAACGGAAGACGTACAGAGTGACGCTATATTTACAGCCATTGCCGAACAAGTGAAATTAAATCCGGATCAAGCTAAGAAAGTTAACGCAGTCTTCCTTTACAACATTACCGTGAATGGAAAGCCGACGTCTGAATGGAGTAAGTATAATTCTGGAAATTTGATAATATTAGTAATATTCTGAGTTTATAGTGACAAATAAAAAAAGTGATTACACGTCACAGTGACTCTAGCAATAACCACATAAGTGACTTCTATTTCTTCTTCTTGACAGCTCTCGACTTGAAGAACGCTGAAGTGCACAAAGGAAAACCTAAATCTGGAAAAGCAGACGCGACGCTCACTTTGGATGATAATGATATGGTTGAAATTGTAAGTCATCTACGTGAAATCAAAGCATATACTTTTGATAAATATTACTCTTTGACAAATAATATCACGATTGTTGCAGGCACTGGGGAAATTAAATCCACAAGTGGCATTTATGCGTGGAAAATTGAAAATAAGCGGAAATATCCTGCTGACACAAAAATTAAAAACTCTTATGGAAACTAACAAAGCGAAGCTATGATTCTTTTACATTCTTATCATAACTTGAAACGCTTAACCTAGCTGAAGGTATTCGTTATGGGCTGGGAACATGTATACAAATAGATGTGTGTGTGCGCGCGCGTGTGTATATATATATGTATATATATATACACATACAT